CCCAGCTACTCAGGAGGCTGAGGCAGGAGCATTGCTTGAACCCAGGAGGCGGAGGTTGCGGTGAGCCGAGATCACGCCATTGCACTCTAGCCTGGGTAACAAGAGTGAAACTCTGTCTCAAAAAAAAAAACAAAAAACAAACAAACAAACAAGAAAAAAAAAAAACAAGAAAAAAAAGTGAACACTGTTTTAGAAGGCATTGATGAAAATACAATATTTGAAATTACAGAGGTGATGGTCCTGCTCTATTCTATTGCTTAGACCCTGGGTGGAATGCTGCATTCAGTATGGACCCTACTAAAAGCCCAGGCAGTCAAAGCCCAATCAAAGAAGAAGAATTGGGACAGGGAAGGAACTCAACAAGAAAACGTGAAGAACAATGGATAAGGAGCTGGGCATGGTGGTGTGTACCTGTAATATTATTTACTCTGGAGGCTGAGGTGAGAGGATCATTTGAGCCCAGAGTTCAAGACCAGGTTGGGCAACATAGTGAGACTCCATCTCTTAAAAAAAAAAAAAAGTACAATTGATGGATTGGCTAGTGAGGAATTGTCTTCAGGTTGTGAGAAGGCACATGGCTCATCTCTTTAAATAACAAAAAGATCATCATGTGGAAAAGGATTCAGTTTATTCTCTGGCTCCACGAACAGACTTGATATTACTAAGGAAGTTATAGACATGAATTTTAGCATAATGCAGATGCTCTTACTTACAATGGGGCTTCATCCCAATAAATTCATCATAAATTGAAAATATTGTTAAGTTGAAAATGCACTTAATATATCTAAGCTCCCAAAGATCACAGTTTAGTCTAGCCTTTTTTTTTTTTTTTTTTTTTACTTTTTTCTCTTCCTATTGCTTTGAGCAAAATAGTCTAGCCTTTTTTTTTTTTTTTTGAGATGGAGTTTCACTCTTGTTACCCAGGCTGGAGTGTAATGGCGCGATCTTGGCTCACCGCAACCTCCACCTCCTGGGTTTAGGCAATTCTCCTGCCTCAGCCTCCTGAGTAGCTGGGATTATAGGCACGCACCACCATGCTCAGCTGATGTTTTGTATTTTTAGTAGAGACGGGGTTTCACCATGTTGACCAGGATGATATCCATCTCAACCTCGTGATCCACCCGCCTCGGCCTCCCAAAGTGCTGGGATTACAGGCTCGAGCCAGCGCACCCGGCAGGTCTAGCCTTTTTAAATACTCTCAGAACATTTACATTAACCTATAATTGGGTAAAAGCATCTAACACAAAGCCTATTTTAAAAATAAAAGATTGACTTTCATATGTTGCTAGCCTGGGAAAAGATCAAAATTCGAAATACAGTTTCTGCTGAATGCATACTGCTTTTGCACCACTGTAAAATCAAAAAGTCATCAGTCTAACAACAGTAAGTCAGAGAGTGTCTGTATAAGAAGACTTAATAGTTGGGTCAGTGATAGCCACAAGGGAGCAGGCTGCCTCATGACACAGCAAGCTCCCTGTCACTGAAGGGGTGCCCACAAAGCCAGGAGAACTCTCAGAGAGTGTGGCATGTGGAAATCCCCACTGGATGAAGTTAGGGTTGATGTCCTTCCATATTCTCTCTAATGCTGAAATCTGATGAAGTCCATAGTGAAGGTTGGAAAGAGCAGGAAACTGGAGGGAAAGAGACCAGAGATATTACAAATTGTGAGCTGTTCTGGAGCACAATTCCCAGCCACCATTCTAACTCCAGAAAAAGAAAAAGTCATGGAAGGTTGCATTACTCCCAATTCTTCACCACTCCCTATATCCAATCCCTTTGCCATGGGACTTTGAAGTTTCTCCCACCAGAGGCAGAATATGATAATGTTGGGTTGGCCAATCAGCTTGTTTTGGCTGATAGAATGTGGATGGAAGTGACAATCCAACCATAGGCCTTATGAGTTAATGGGGCTTTTTGCTCACCCATCTTGTGCTATGTGAAACACAAGCCCTTGGTAGGCATCACAGAAGAAACAGAGACACATGGCATAGACTAACCTAGCCAACCTACAGAGCTACTACATCCTTAAGCAGAGCTGTCCCAGCCAATCCATGGACACCTGAGAGAGAAATACATGCTTTATTATTGTATGGCACTTCAATTTGGTGGTTATTTGCTAAGCAGCATTATTAGGGCAATAACTAATTAGCAGTTAGTTATGGAATATTCCAACAATTTTAAGATACAGCAATTGAAGGCAGTCACCAGGCTTCTGTTGGCCTTTCTAGGATCTGAGAAAGCAGCACTTGAGGCAAATAACCCATCCCAACAGACTGTAGACATATCCTGTCTTGGGGATAGATGTTGCTGGAAGTGGGTGGCCAAAGTCACTAAGCAGGGCCTGGACCCAGTGCTACCGTGCCTTTGTGCAGGTTGTGATAAAAGGGTGACAGCAGGAAGCAGAGCCACTTCAGGTCATGGGAACAAGTATAGTTGAGTACTCAGAACAAAATGTAGGTAGTAATAGCATCCTGACAGGGAGTTTATTTGTGTTGTAATGGATTAAAGATGGCCACAAATTATTTCCTACATCTCTTATCAATATGTGGAGTCTGTTTCCCCTCCACTTGAACCTAGGTTGATCCTGTGACTTATGCGGATCAACAGAATGTAGCCATGTATCATTGTATAACTTCTGAGGCTTGGCTTTAAGAGATCTTCTGGGCCAGGAACAATGGCTCATGCCTGTAATCTCAGCACTTTGGGAGGCAAAGCGGGTGGAAATCTTGACCCTAGGACTTTGAGACCAGCCTGGGCAACATGACAAAAACCCGTATCTACTAAAAATACAAAAATTAGCTGGGCATGGTGGCGCACACCTGTAGTTGCAACTACTTGGTTGGCTGAGTTGGGAGGATCAACTGAGCCTAAGAGATGGAGGTTGCAGTAAGCCAAGATCACACACCACTGCACTGCAGCCTGGGAAATAGAGTGAGACCCTGTCACAAAAAGAAAAAAGAAAAAAAAAAAGAAAAAGAGATTTTCTATTCCCTCCTATGCATTCAGGATGCTCCTTCTGAGAACCCAGCTGCAATGCTGTGAAGAGACCGAAGCAACTCTGTGAGGAAGTGAGACAACTGGCTAACAGTTCCAGCTAAACTCCCAGCTGCAACCAGCACCAACCTTCAGCCATGTGAGTGAGGTCATTTGTACCTCCAGACATTCTACCACTCCAGTCAACACTCTGTGAAGCAGAAAAACACGGGGTTAATGGTTAACACACGGAACTCTAAGAAATAATGAATTGTTTTAAGAGATCCATTTTGGGTAGTTTTTTTGTTTTGTTTTGTTTTACATAACAATAAATCAGGCATTAGCAAACTTTCTGTAAAAGATCAGATAGCCAATATTTTAGGTTTTGCAGGCCAGATGATCTCTGTTGCTACTACTTAACTTTGCCATCATAGTATGAAAACAGCCATAGACAATACACAAACAAAAGAAATGTAGCTGAGTTCTAATACATTTTCACTTAGCAAAACAGATGGTGGGCTAGGTTTGGCCCATGGGAACTAGTTTGCCAACCCCTATAATAGATAATTAAAACAAATTAACACCCAGAAGTGGGGGGCTTCCATAACAAAAATCTGAAACATAGAACATTGACTTTGGAATCAGGAAGCTTGCAGAGTCCTGAAGGATGGGAAGGAGGATGACAGCACAGTGGGGAAATTGTTGGGAGGTTATTTAGGACCTAAGTGACAAATAGTGGTAACATGTAGTAACATGGATAAGAGAAAATATAACAATTGAACTTGCAGCCTTGGTATGGAGATTTCCAGGCAAAATGCTCAAAATGCTAGCTAACTCCCTCTAGCTGCCTGGGAAAAAGTCCAGGAAGAAGAAACTATTTTGTTTCAAGCAAAATTTAGAAAAACTAGTGGATCCAGGACATTATCTACAGCCAGAAAAACAAAAAACAAAACAAAACAAAACCTCTCAAATTAAAACCTAGAGGGAATATTAATTCTAAGACCTTTCCTGTAAATTGGGGCCTTAAGGTCAGAGACATGGCTATAAGACTTTTTTGTTGTTGTTTCCCAAATGTTATATTTGTTATTTTTTGTACTCTATTAGTACATTATTGGCATATACCAATATAGGGGTTAGAAATTTTTTGTTGTTGTTGTTTTTGTTTTGAGACGGAGTTTCACTCTTGTTACCCAGGCTGGAGTGCAATGGTGCGATCTCGGCTCACCGCAACCTCCGCCTCTTGGGTTCAGGCAATTCTCCTGCCTCAGCCTCCTGAGTAGCTGGGATTACAGGCCCGCGCCACCATGCCCAGCTAATTTTTTGTATTTTTAGTAGAGACGGGGTTTCACCATGTTGACCAGGATGGTCTCGATCTCTTGACCTCGTGATCCACCCGCCTCGGCCTCCCAAAGTGCTGGGATTACAGGCTTGAGCCACTGTGCCCGGCCTCGGTTAACAATTTAAAAAAAAATTTTTAGACTCAGGGGGTACATGTACAGGTTTTTTTTTTTTTTTTTTTTTTTGAGACGGAGTTTCGCTCTTGTTACCCAGGCTGGAGTGCAATGGCGCGATCTCGGCTCACCGCAACCTCCGCCTCCTGGGGTCAGGCAATTCTCCTGCCTCAGCCTCCTGAGTAGCTGGGATTACAGGCACGCGCCACCATGCCCAGCTAATTTTTTGCATGTTTAGTAGAGACGGGGTTTCACCATGTTGACCAGGATGGTCTCGATCTCTTGACCTTGTGATCCACCCGCCTCGGCCTCCCAAAGTGCTGGGATTACAGGCTTGAGCCACCGCGCCCGGCCAGGTTTGTTATATGAGTATATTGCATGATGCTGAGGTTTGGGCTTCAAATGATCCTATCACCCAATAAGTAGTTTTTCAACCCTTGTTCCCCGCCACCCTCTATTGGGTCCCCAGCGTCTCTTGTTTCCACCTTTGTGTCGTGTGTACTCAATGTTTAGCTCCTACTTACTGGTGAGAACACGCGGTACTTGGTTTTCTGTTCCTGCATTAATTTGCTGAGGATAATGGCCTCCAGCTGCATCCATGTTGCTGCAAAGGACATAATTTTGTTCTTTTTTTTATAGTTGTAAGACTGTTGAGAGTCTCAGAAAGACTTAAAACAATGCCTCCTAAACCTCTCATGTAGACTAAAGTGCTTCTAAGAGTCTTAAAGGTTTGTCCCACAACACTGTAATTCACAGCCTAAAGGAGGGAAGGACTTAAGATCTTGAGATTTGGGGGTATGGTTTAAGTAAAAATAAAATTCATGGAAAATCCAGTTTTTTCCTCTACAAGAATTGTACCAGTGTAAGCATTAGTGGCTTGACCTAAAACAGACAAAGCATCTTTAACTAAAACAGTGAAGCATCTTGAACAAGTTACTGGACTGTGAACAAAGCTTATTTTTTTTAGAAAAGGAAGAATGACTCAAAGGATGAAGCCAAGATCTCCATCTAAGGGTAGAGATAAGAGCCACAGAGAATCACATTCCCTGCCCCTGGAGCAGGGGGAATTGGTGACAAGTTCTCAGATTTGCTAATGGCTATTATGTGCCTCTTATTAATCTCCTGTTCTAAATGGGAGTGTCTATTGTGGTTTTCCTGTCCTTGTATTTCCATTAAATGTTGGATGTGTTGGGGGGAAATCACTTAAGAAGTTGCAAGTTTAGTACAAATAATTTTTTTGGACTACAGTCACACATCACTTAATCATAGGGATTCTTTCTGAGAAATATGTCATTAGTCAATTATGTTATTCTGCAAACATCATAGAGTATGCTTATATCTAGATGGTACAGCCCACTACACATCTAGGTTATATGGTATGGCCTTTTGCTCCGAGCGTACAAATCCATACAGCATGTTACTGTACTAAATACTGTAGGTTATTATAACACAATGATAAGTGTGTAACTAAACATAGAAAAGGTACAGCAATAAAACAGTATAAAAGATAAGAAAATTGTATAACTGAGCCGGGCACGGTGGCTCAAGCCTGTAATCCTAGCACTTTGGGAGGCTGAGGCAGCTGGATCACGAGGTCAAGAGATCGAGACCATCCTGGTCAACATGGTGAAACCCTGTCTCTACTAAAAAATACAAAAAATTAGCTGGGCATGGTGGCACATGCCTGTAATCCCAGCTACTCAGGAGGCTGAGGCAGGAGAATTGCCTGAACCCAGGAGGCGGAGGTTGCGGTGAGCCGAGATCGTGCCATTGCACTCCAGCCTGGGTAACAAGAGCGAACCTCCGTCTCACAAAAAAAAAAAAAGAAAATTGTATAACTGTACAGGGCAGCTTTATTATAATTTTATGGAACCATCATCCAATATGCCATCCATTTTTGACTAAAATGTTATGTGGCACACGATGCTATTTGAGAGTAAATTTCTGATATGATGCCCTATTACTCCAAAATCTTTTAGTGTGCATTTTCAATGTAACCAGAATACAATAATCAAAACAGGAAGTTCACATTGCTACATTATTATCATATTATCTTTAGTCCCGATCCAAGTTCCACTGGTCATCCCAATAATATTCTTATTTTATTTATTTATTTATTTATTTATTTATTTATTTATTTATTTTGAGACAAGAGTCTCACTCTGTAGCCAGGCACCAGGCTGGAGTGCAGTGGCACAATCTTGGCTTACTGCAACCTCTGCCTCCTGGGTTCAAGCAATTCTCATGTCTCAGCCTCCCGAGTAGCTGGGATTACAGGTGCACGCCACCATGCCCAGCTAATTTTTGTATTTTTATTAGAGACGGGGTTTCACCATGTTGGCCAGGAAGGTCTCGATCTCTTGGCCTTGTGATCCGCCTGCCTCGGCCTCCCAAAGTGCTAGGATTACAGGCTTGAGCCACTGCGCCCGGCCGTAATATTGTTTTTTTTTTTTTAAATTATTTTTCGGCCGGGTGCAGTGGCTCACGCCTATAATCCCAGCACTTTGGGAGGACGATCATGAGGTCAAAAGATCGAGACCATCCTGGTCAACAAGGTGAAACCCCGTCTCTTCTAAAAATACAAAAATTAGCTGGGCGTGGTGGCACGTGCCCGTAGTCCCAGCTACTCCGGAGGCTGAGGCAGAATTGCTTGAACACAGGAGGCGGAGGTTGCAGTGAGCCGAGATCGCGCCATTGTACTCCAGCCTGGGTAACAAGAGTGAAACTCTGTCTCAAAAAAAAACCCACAAAATTTATTTTTATTTTTTAGTGACAGGGTCTTACTGTTATCCAGGCTGGAGTACAGTGGCTTGATCATAGCTCACTATAACTTCAACCTTCTGGGCTGAAGTGATCCCCCTGCCTCAGACTTCTGAGTAGCTAAGACTACAGGTATGCACCACCATGTTCAGCTAATTTTTTTTTTTTTTTTTTTTGAGACGGAGTTTCGCTCTTGTTACCCAGGCTGGAGTGCAATGGCGCAATCTCGGCTCACCGCAACCTCCGCCTCCTGGGTTCAAGCAATTCTCCTGCCTCAGCCTCCCAAGCTGGGATCACAGGCAGGCGCCACCACGCCCAGCTAATTTTTTGTATTTTTAGTAGAGACGGGGTTTCACCATGTTGACCAGGATGGTCTCGATCTCTTGACCTCGTGATCCGCCTTCCTCGGCCTCCCAAAGTGCTGGGATTACAGGCGTGAGCCACCACGCCCCGCCTTCAGCTAATTTTTAAAATTTTTTGTAGAGACAAGGGTCTTGCTAGGTTACCCAGTCTACTTTGAAACTTCTGGCCTCAAGTGAGCAACCTGCCTTGGTCTCCCAAAGTACTGGGATTATAGGCATGAGCCACCACACTAGGCCCCCAATTATATACATATGTATATATACACACATATGTATATATATACGTATATATATATATACACACATATGTATATATATACGTATATACGTATCGTATATATATACATATGTGTGTATATATATATATACGTATATATATATATATATTCGAGACAGAGTCTTGCTCTGTCACCCAGGCTGGAGTGCAGTGGCATGATCTTGGCTCACTGAAACCTCCACCTCTTGGGTTCAAGTGATTCTCTCTGCCTCAGCCTCCTGAGTAGTTGGGATTACAGGTGTGTACCACCACTCCCGGCTAATTTTGTATTTTTAGTAGAGATGGGGTTTCACCACATTGGCCAGGCTGGTCTTGAACTCCTGGCCTCAAGTAATCCTCCTGCCTTGGCCTCCCAAAGTGCTGTGATTACAGATTACAGAGCCACTGCTCCTGGCCCCCAATAATATATATATTTTTTGAGACAGAGTCTCACTTCGTCACCCAGGCTGAAGTGAGTGGTGCCATCTTGGCTCACTACAACCTCTACCTCCCAGGTTCAGGCGATTCTCCTGCCTCAGCCTCCTGAGTAGCTGGGATTACAGGCATGTGCCATCACACCTGGCTAATTTTTATATTTTTAGTAGAGATGGGGTTTCGCCATGTTGGCCAGGCTGATCTCAAAACCCTGATCCTAGGTGATCTGGCCGCCTTGGCCTCCCAAAGTGCTTGGATTACAGGCATGAGCCACTGTGCTCAGCTAACATTCTTTTAATAGAAGGATCCACTTTAGAATCACATGTTGCATTTATTTTCTTCAGTTTTTCATTTTTCCAAAAATTACCCCAAGCTAAAGCATGATGTGGGTATGTCATGTAGATGCTGGCAGTACTGCCCTCACTACATGCTCTTTGGACAGTAGTGCAACACCAAGAAAAGGATGGTTAGTTGTTATTTCTCTTTATTTTTCTTCAACTGAGATGAGAACATTTTCTCAGTCTTTGACTATCATGACCTTGACACTTTGGAAGATATCAGGATAGTTGTTTTATAGAATGTCTCACAATTTGGATTTCTCTAATGTTTCTCATTGAAATTATTAGAATTTCTTAAGGTAATATTTGAAATTAGGTAAACATATTGTTACTCATCAAATTCTGTTTATATCACTATGGACTCATAGTTTATTTTGTTCAACTGGTCATAAACTGTTTCTATCAATATTTCATGCTCAATTTTTTTCTATATTTGGCCAGCGGGAGCACTTTCAAACTGATTTGTCTTTTTGACATAATCTCATCATTCTTTGAGCTCTTCTGCACTTCCTGACACAAGATTTTCCAGGTTCATCTTGTAATATTACTAGCCAATCCTTGGAATCAGAAATCAGCCTTTTCTCCAAGAATACCTAGGTTATTTTAATGGAGATGTTTAGAAACCAAGACCTGGGTACTAGATGTGCTCATTGTATTGGGAAATTTCTGCTCCCAGACAACACACACACACACACACACAGACACAGACACACACACACACACACACACACACACACTCTTATATCTATACTTTATCATCTGTCACTATATTGAAAATCATGAATTCACACCAATTTCTCAAATTTAAATAAAGTATCAAAGGATTCATTTTAGCTTTCTTCCTGTCTATATTTATAACTCCTCTTACTGTCAGAAACTTGGGTAACTCTCATCTATATATGTATACTTTTTTTTTTAAGACAGAGTCTTGCTTCTTCCCCCAGGCTGGAGTGCAATGGCACCATCTCAGCTCACTGCAACGTCTGCCTCTCCGGTTCAAGCAATTCTCCTGCCTCAGCCTTCCCAATAGCTGGGATTACAAGCATGTGCCATCACACCCAGCTAATTTTTGTATTTGCAGTAGAGATGGGGTTTTATCATGTTGGCCAGACTGGTCTCAAACTCCTACCTCAAGTGATCCTCCCACCTTGGCCTCCCAAAGGGTTGGGATTACAGGCGTGAGCAACCACTGCAACCTCTGCCTCCCAGGTTCAAGTGATTCTTCTGCCTCAGCCTCCAGAGTAGCTGGGATTACAGGCATGTGCCACCATGCCTGGCTAATTTTTTCTATTTTTTGGTAGAGACAGGTTTTCACCACATTGGCCAGGCTGGTCTCAAACTCCTGACCTCAGGTGATCCACCAACTTGGCCTCCCAAAGTGCTTGAGATTAGAGGTGTGAGCCACCATGCCCAGACATATAGTTACTTTTTAATCAGTCTTTCTGTGTTTAAC